GCTGGCATATTTTGCTCACGCATGGTGTGGCCTGATACAAAGTGCGATAACACAATTACCATATGTCTTCAAAAGGAAAAAGTCTGATCAGCGGAGTGTTGCCGTGCCTTCCCTGTCTTTTTGGCAGGTTTCTCATTATGATATGATTTGTTTCTTGCGATTTACAAAGATATTTTTTGCATTCCTTCGTGGACAAAAAACAAATACACATGATATGATATGTTTTGACATTTTGTCTAGCACATTTAGTGGCATTTTGTTCCGAACAAATATCTCGTGCTGGGGTTTTTAAACATATATTGGGACGTGTTTTTTGGGCATTTTGGCATATTTACTGCAGCAAAACATGCAACAAGACATGACAATATGTTGTTGGAACATAATGATTGGAATATATGCACCACATTGAGACAAGCGCATTGAAAATCCGAGCGCCGCAAAAAAATCATCGCAGGACCTGAGGATATATGTAGAAATAAGTTGGACTGTTTCTAGTAGATTATTTGACCTATGTTTTGAGGCACGGATGTGTTCTGGAGCACATACAGTCCGCCAAGTTGATATAAGCCCCGCTAAATTCACGACGAGCCGGGTTGAGCCTGGGACACAGATTTACGGTGAAGCCAACGAACTTCAACCCACGACGCGCAGTTAATTAAGAGTCATGTCAACACCATTCAGCTTGCAATTTTCAAGCATGGTAATTGGCCGATATTCTTCCAAACAAACACGGCACTGGACAAATCCGTGGAAATCAGTCATAACCACACATATTGTAATAATTATATGTATATATATAATTACATTATATATAATTACATTTTATATGTATACATTATATATATATATTATTATATTGTATTATATTATACTATATTGTATTATATTATATTATATTAGATCATATTATATCAATATATATATACATGTGTACATATATATTATATATAAATATATATACCCGGTTCCAAAGGATGTATCTGCTATAGTCGTTCTCTACTAGGCTATACTGGGATTTTTCGTTCTATACACAAGCCTCTGAGCCAAGCTGATTTCCTTCAGTATGTCCTACTGAGCCATTTTCTGGGGTGTCTATGTTGGCCTCATGGGCCTTATGGGCCAGTTTCCTGCTATAGTCGTTCGAAGTAGTTTTGTGAAATTTTGTGAAATCCCTGTATTGTCGTTGATCTTATGGACCTCGGTTCCAGTATGTTCGTTCAGCTTTACCCAGTGTGTTCGAGCAGAACCCTGGTATGTTCGAGCAAACCTGCAACGTCCTAGCCTATACCAGATATGGTCGAGGAAGACTAGGGTATATATATGTATATTTGTATTAATGTATCATAAATCGAGCAATCATCTGTGGTGGTGGGGTTGTTCATTACCAGCAATCGAAGCCTGCAGTGGCGTGGCCAAAGGTGAAAGCTCCGGCTGCCATTCCATTCGACGTGGCAATCTTTCTTGCGTTGCCGTGATCGGATGACGAGGAACCTCTTGTGATCTATTGCTGCATATTGCTACGTTTTTTCTTTGGGGCTATGGATTGATTTAAGGGAAAATCTTCGGGAAACCATGGTTTTTCATGTTTTTCGCATGATATATATATATATAATATATATATATATTCATCCAATCCTAGGATACTAGAAGGACAGTCGTTTCTTTGCGATAACAGTGCGTAGTCAGTTTGTCTCCAAGTATATTCCAGGTTCACTACCCATTGACCTGCGATGTCCAGACCGAGGCTGTTTAAAGTCGAGGCAGAAAGTCAGTCAGCATCCGTAAAACATGTACATATCAAGCAAAGAGATATATGATGATACATGCGGATAGAATCTATCCACAAATCACAGTGGTACAATATAGTATAGTATCATATTACCTTTCAGAAACTGCAAAATCGATGATTGCGCTCGGCCCTTGCAATCCGACATAACATGACCCATGCCGATCTGTTTGTCGCCCTTGTCCGCTGTTGGTTTCCTTACGATGACAACGACAACAGCATCTCTCAGCAGCAACGTCAACACGCTGGAAACGACGGGAAGATCGCGCTGACAGACAGGGGCTGACGGTCATGATTGAAGCGCAAATGCCAGCGCGTCGCATCATGTGGCTGGCACCGGCGGAAGAACGCTGCATTCCTTTCTTTATACGACACGGTATCTTTCCCCAAGCACTTTTTTGTTTTTCGACACAAATCCGAACATTCTTTGGCCATTTGTTGTTTTGCGTTTGATGCTCGGACAAACTTCAATGCAATTGGATTCCATGCCAGTACAGTAGCATGACTCGCAAACCTGCGCGTTGTGACACTGGCCAGTACGCCGAGGTGATTTTGTTTTTGCTTCCAAGTTGAAGTTGCGTAGGCCTGAATCTGGAACTGCTGTTCACGATACTTGACTATTTCTGGATCTCGGCTCGTCACGCATAATTTTTGCATTTTGAACAGCAACAACTCCGACATGTCTTATCCACCGTTGGGGTAGGAGTTGTGTCCTCAACCTCTTGTTTTCTCGGTCAATGTTTGGGTCGGCACTGTTCACGATAGGATGAGCGTTGCAGGCTGTTTGGAAAAAGTGGTTGACTATATTTAAATATGGTTAACTATTGTTTGTGATACGTATATTTAACCAACACTAGTTGTGAACAAACAATATACTATATATATATGTGTATGATGTATAATTATAATATATATATTTACATATCTGATATTTATGATTGATTCCGATATCGTTGAATAGTGTGGAGATATTCGTTCCAATCCTTGCTCATTGAGTTCTTCGCGTGTTTCCCTTCGCGTTGCAAGTTTCGTTGGGTCGTCCACGTCATGTTGCCGTCAAGTCGAGACCCGCTGGAATGCATTCCCCACAACCCCCGAAAACAATGGCACGGTAAATCTGGTGAGATTGATACTTAGTTACCTCTGGTAATTTAACATAGCTATTGAAAATAGCCATTTATAGTGAATTTTCCCATGAAAAATTGTGATTTTCCATAGTTATGTTAAATTACCAGAGGGTACTTGGTACAACAGTGACATAGTTTTTTTCAGTCACAAACAAATCTCATTCAATTTCCCCCAATGTTGGTGCCATCGCCAAACACATGCAGTCCAAGCGCACTTTTTCACTTCCAGCGGCATCAGTCGGATCGAGATATGAAAATCAATGTTGACCCCGCACCAGGATCAACGAACGTTAAGCCACATGTTTTGTTTTGTTTTGTTCAATGTCAATCTAAGGCAAATGCTTCGTCATGATCAATGCTTCTATGTTTTGAGAATCCACAAATATCCAGAATGCAAATGCTTGCTTCAGAAAAGCTGATACGTCTCCCTGCCTGCGTGCTTCTTTCGGTGATCCTTGCACTATCATGTACTATCTACTTGCATTTCAATGAATGAAATCCCAGTCGGTAGTCTTGTAAGCTGACATCCATCAATATTAGCTTGCATTCAAACAAGAATGAACTGGAATGCTTAACGACGCATAGATGGCACCTCCAAAACAATCAAATTGACTCTAGAAAGAAATCTGGAAATTTCGCTGTGCATGTTCTTCATGTTCTTTTCTGCGTATCTTGGATCATGTTCCCCAAAAACGTCCAATGTATTTGCTCCCAGATTTGAATTCCAAATATAGTGATCTATTCATGAATTATCACTTGTCAATTGTCATCAATTATCAACAACAATCGATTTGACGCATTGTTCAATTTATTATTTACCAATAGCCGTTTCCCCTTTCTTTGTGGGTTTGGTTAGCTACCTCTCTCGGGTGCTTTCTTTCTCCAGCACTCCCACAGCAACCACCGGTCCAGGCTCTCGCCGTCCGATGGCTATGGTACACAGGATCTACAGGGCCCGGGCCCGTCGGATTCGTCGGACACAGCCCAGCCCATCCCATCCCCAGCCCAGGGGCTAGTCGGCTAGTTGTAAGAATGGCAGCCCAGGTTGAACCAACATTCACAATCATCAATAGGTATCAATAGGTTGTATAATAACAATTCATAACCATCAATGACTGGATGACTGGTTGGTGGTTGAGCCAACCCCTCTGAAAAATATGAAAGTGGAGTTCGTCAATGGGAAGGATGACATCCCATATATGATGGAAAAATGTTCACATGTTCCAAACCACCAACCAGTTCTGGATTGATTCCAATCCTCAGGTACAAACACACAGGTCGTTGCTGACTTAATCATCTCGAAAATGGTGATTCCCTCCATCCAGAAAACACATCATGACTTGAAAGTGGAATCGTCTCCGGACGTAGTCACAACAATTCATGTTTGAAACTGCCACTGTCCAGCTAGTACAACTCATGAGTGTTACTCATCTAGAAACCCATTGGCTTCAAACATGTTTACCATTTTAATGATGTGGGAATGATATCAACAAAAAACAACCACTATTTGCATCTAGAATCTACAAGCATAACTGGAGGTATAGTCCAAATTACAGCCAATTCACTGCAACTGGCTATCTGTTTATTCTTCGTAGGGCAATTTCAGGCTAGTAACCATCTTACACATGATATGTTATTGGATGAGTTTCCAATGTGTTTTTTGAACTTTTGTTGATTGCATGCATGGGGTTCCCACGTAATGTTTCTTTCAAGTTTTTTCATTTTGCTTGGGGTTGTAGGTTTAATATGGTTTAATCGCTTACAAAGTACCACACATTCACCAATCATAACCAATCCATGCATGAGTTTTGTATTACCCTCTAGTTATGACTAACATAGCTATAGAAAACCCACCCATTTTGGTAAACCATCTCTTTCTATGGGCCATCTATACCATGGCTATGTTAGTCATAACCGGAGGGTAGCTTGGTGGTTTTGGGTCTGAAGTCACTAGATGCATCAGCCAAATGGGACCATCGTAGGGATGAAACGTAGCATTAATGATGATCAACAGCCAGTTGCAAAGCTTCAGAAATCCCATGAAATCCCTATGTCATGCTGCTAAAAATCACATGTTCATTGATTCAGTCCCCATGTTGCTGGGCCAAGTCCTCTATTTCCGGCACGATTTTCCGTGCCGCAGTGCACAGCACTGCAACCTCTCTCATTGCCCGAAGACATCTGCGGCCATCACTGTCTTAGCGCCCAGGAACTCCCGCAAACGCCTTTCCTGGGCACGTGGGAAACCTCACTAGGTCCTGCCCCCTAGCTAAGTCTGTTTATAAAATTGTTTAAGTAGGTTAACCTTTGGAATTATGGGAGATATCTCACATTAGTTAAGGGGGTGAAACTAAGCCAACAAACATAACTAGGGAGCCACCAGTGTAACAGTGGAGATTCATCAATATTGTTGTCACCAAAAATGAGGACACAGCCAGCAATCATCGATCAGCAATCATGAGGATATATTATGGGATTGTCTTTAAAATTGGTGGACTTAACCAACAAAATGCTGGATTCCCAGCATTTTTCCTGAAATCTTTCTGGGAAAACCATCTATGAAATGGCTACGGCTATGATGGTTTAACCAACAAACACAGGGATATCGGAAACCAAGATGGGGGTATTAAGTATGATTGGATATACATGGATATCCAACCGAAGGTCAGGTGTTCGGAAAGTGCCGCCGGAGACCGGATACAGCTTGTCCTTGCAAACGGACTTTCGTCCATCCCGTATTTTGACAAGTTCCTCCTGCTGTTGGCCATGATGAAGGCTCGACTGAAGTAAGAAGCCACCAAACAGCCGAAATCAGAGCATATCAAAGTGCTGAACTCCTTGATTTCCGAAGAACCAACCTGGTACTTGAACTCAAGTTTGTTGAAAGAACAGCATCGTCTCTTAGGACTCGTGTGCTGAACCTGAGGCGAGATCACAGAAGTTCTTCTCACAGGGCCATCCAGAAGTGCATCCACTGGCGAAACCACTGGCGACACCCGGCGAGATCGACTATGAGCTTGCCGTAATTTGTGAACATATTGAATGAAACCTTACTCTCCAAGAAATTCACTAACATATTGAACAATCACCATATTTAGGTTATATTTTCCTTGAGAAACCATTGGTTTTTCATATCTATATCAATGATGTCGGTCATGTTTATGTACTAGAAGGTATCATCTCTCTCCGAACTGGAACAGAATAGGCGTTTTCAAAATCAAAACTTGTAGCAGTACTACTGACCATGTCTATCCTCCCAGCTCAACTCCGGTAAGATTGGCGGTCCCATTTTGTGGCTCGTCATCCAGATTGGTTCTTAAGGGATAGTCCTGGAACCGTTGCTGTCATCAAACGTCACCCATCGTCATGGACATCAAACTTCACGGGATGGAATCTAAATCACCCATGTCACCCATATGACTCATATGGCACCATTTTTTCGGCGATGGTAAAACAAAACCATGCCCATTTGTGGGAGCGGTCAATTTCTTGGCTTTCCCATCCCCCGATCATGGAAATCCATCTGGTTATGACATTGCCAGTTTGCCATGGAAAATCCACCCATGTTTTAATAGGTAAACCATCTATAGGGCCATCGAACTACCATGGCGAACTGTTAGTCATAACCAGAGGCTACTCATAATATGGGACCTTAAAATATAATAAACTGAAGAGATCAAATATGAAACCAGGGTCTCGGTTGGGCAAATCGTATATGATGAGGAAGGGATTACACAGTGATCATGTCGGCTATCGCCAGACGTGACTGTTAAGTTCACCTCCAGGCGTTGGTTTGTTCCGTCCTCAGTGTACCATAGGGAAACCATAGGAAAATGGAGGTTTTAATAGGAAAACCATAGGAAAACCATAGGAAAATGGATGTTTACCCTCTGGTAATTTAACATAGCGAACTGGAAAGATCCACCATGCTATTCATGGGAAAATCCACTATTTCGACTGGGCCATTTTCCATGTCGCTTTTTGTATGTTTACCAGAGGGTACATTCCGGCAACTCTATGGAAGTCCCACATTTTGGAGCTTGTAATCGGTTGTAATCAGCGTCTGAGTTTGTGAACTCCCTCTATGGTGGCTGTGGATGACAACGATATATCCACCATAAATCCAACAGTTAGCCCGGTTAGAATCCGACTTCAAAGGTGCGTCCCCAGGAAAAAATCATTTGGGGGACCCTTCCTTTGCAGTTGGGCTGGAAAAAGGTGACATCATAGAGTGATGACCTCCATTAGTTGGGCTAAAAAAACATCCACTTAAATATGTATTTATAACTCCATCCCCAAGCCCCAAGTCCCTGTCTGGTCCTGATTTTCAGTGGCTAAAAAACAACCCAAAAACCTCCATCAGCAACGCCTCTGAGCCCCCGCGCGGTATCAGCGGCATCATCCGCATCGCCGTCGCCGTCGGCGTCGCCGTCGGCGTCGTCACCGTCGCCGTCGTCGTCGTCGCCGTAGCCGTACTGGTCTTCGTCGTCATCTGTGGAGCAGCCAGCCGATGAGCCCAGATATTCAATGGGAATTTCAGGATCCTAAAATGGAGGTACTGCATGGGTCATTAAATGTCCCCATTGAACATCACCCAACCATTAGGTATATGGTCTATAATGGCTATTATAAGGTGATGTCCAATATACCCAAAATGGGACATTTACCAACCCCTGTCCATATAAGACCATATTTTTGGTTAAGCACGGTTAAGCTACATATAGTCATGGGGATATGGGGATCTATGGGAAAACACAAGAATCATAAGGATATGGGATGATAATAGGAATATCTGTCACCATGTTGCGTCCGTTCATCCCACCTGGGATTGGTTTGAATTGGTGTATCAACCCCTATGAATGGGGGATCGACCATCCCCTTTCATAGGAAAATAGCACATGTTTTGACCGTGGCATATCATATTAGGATATCAATTCACGAATAAACATTGGAAACATCAGAAAGATAGCAAATGGAAATGGGTGGAACTGAAAAGTTGGAACATCATCCGAAAAACCATCGATTTTTAGATGATAGGGTCATCCTGTCATCCTCCCAAATACTAAGAGGATTAGATCTGGTTGACATATTCAATTTTGATCCATTTTGGGAGATTGCAAGATGGCGGTAATCGTTTGAGTTGACACCAGCTGGTAACCGGAAAAGGTTAGTATCCCACAAAATGCTGCTGGACGAAAAGGACGTAAAACCCATGCAAAAAAAATCAACGCGGGAAGACTCGGGAACAGCTCTTGGTAAAACCCAGGCCATAGCCTCCCTTTAGAACATGAGCTTTAAACATAGCAGCATCTGGGATTCATATAAATAATTACCATACTACTAAATGATCTTCTTGTTTCACTCACATAAAAATATCAGAACATATCTCATATCTTTATCCATCTGGGTAAATTATAATATTTCACTAACCTGAATTGTTCGGCCATAAAAGGGGATCATTTCCCCTTACAGGCCCTATGATTATAGTGAGGGAGAACAGTGAGGTCGTGATGAAATTTACCCAGATCCATGTAGATGAACCATTGGATTTGGGCCTTCTCCAGTCACAATTCTCCTCGGTTTAGGTTTTGTGGGTCCCAACATGGGATACCCAAAAAAACATCCACGAAAAAACGTAGAAACAACCCCATCCCATATTATTACTGGTTATATAATGTTATATAGCCAATCATCTCTCCATTCTGGTTGTAAAAACCACCATCTTTGTTGGTGAAACCGTGAAACCCCCCAATTTTTTGCGGCAAACTCGTACAATCTCATATCATTCATATCTTTATCCTGTTTCTCCTGGAAACGGGGTCTCCCTGGCTCCCTTCCCACTGGCCATCTGCAGATGCAACGACGGCCTGGGCTTGCACTGAGTTCATGGGCTATCTTTGTGTTGGGGTTGACTTAGCGACAAAATTCAGTAGCCGATTTTTTTTTGTGTCTTGCGATGGATGTCGACATGCATTCTATCCACCGAACTTGCAGATTATATAAACACATCCCAACAGTAAAGAAACAGACTCATCTAGTTTCTGACTGAAGATTTAGAGGAACACCACCGATTTCCCATAGATCATGATCATTGTCCCCATGAATTACTGTAAAATGTGCCATTTTTTCAGTGGTTAAGTCTGCCCATTTCCGGACCCGCAAAGCAGTTCCCTGGTCTCCCTGACAGGTGGAAGATTGGTCACACCAATGATGGTTAACCTCGGTGTCAAGGGAGGTTGAGGGAATTTTTGGGCCGTGTTTCATTCAACCATATTATTAACCATATATTGGGCCATATATTAACCATATATTATTATCATTAATGATCATTAATGGAAAGATGTGGAAAGTGACATTTTCGAAGTCATGAACAAATCTCAGATGGTTAAAACATGTGTGCTGGGTTTAGGGTTTTAGTGGTATCTTCTGATACTTTTTGGATGACACCTTGCTACAGAGTTTGGCTAATCAAATCAGGATCTGGGTTTGGGTCAATATTTCCATGTTTTTCTTTCGACAAAGAATGACAAAAACATCGCTAGAGTTCTGATGCTGGCTTCGGTATGGACAAGATCAAAAAACATCGTCGGGTTTGTTCTAAACACACAATCAAAGTAATTTTGGAACAAATCCCACAATAGATGAACATTAGACTTCAACAATTGGTACCCTGAAATCTGTATCATTACCTTTCCAAAAATCCCATTGTCGATGATCATTTTTTCAACTATATACCATCTGGCAATCAAACGTGGCAAGTGGACATGCCCTATAAATGAATGTTTTTATTGGGAACATCATCAGTGCCATGTTGAAAAATCCTCGGAGGGAAAACCAAGAAGATTTTGGGGCCATATGGAGATATGGAGGTTTCCCTAAGCCATGGGGCTCCAGTTCTCCATGAACCAATAGGATTTCCCATGAAATAAACATGGTCAACCATGGTCAACCAATGGAAGCCACGGCAGAAAAAAAGGGGTACCCTCTGGTAATTTGTTACAGTTTGCTATTGAAATGGCCATAGAAATAGTGAGTTTTCCCCCCAAAAAATGGTGATTTTCTATAGCTATGTTAGTTTACCAGAGGGTACCAAGTACCAAGAATGTCTAAGTTTGGACCTTTTTTGACCCATGAATGATTTCCCCATCGGAAAAGTTGGTGTTAGTGATATCCGATTCTATCCGGACATTTTTTGATCCCATGAAACCAGCATGATGAAATTTAACCATGAATAATTTCATATCATATCCCCAGAAAAAGGCTTTCCAAGATTCAATGGATTGGTTTAAGGGAAAATCTACACCGGAAACCATGGTTTTTACCAGTAAATTTTCCAATCATCCAATTTTCCCATCATCCAATGGCCCATTTATAGATGGTTTACCTATTAAAAATGGGTGGATTTTCCATGGCTATGTTAGTCATAACCAGATGGTATCCCATTTTTATCACCACCTTTATATGAATCCCTTGGCGCCGGTGAGTGAAACTCATCCCGCAGCCCGCAGTACCCAGTGGACCCAGTAGCGAGCCGATCAAGACCATTCCCACCATAATGGCCCACAAGCCCCACCTCGAGCGATGCTGGATTTATGGCTATGATAAAAATCATACACTTTTCATACTGTGTATGTATATATATATATATATATGTGGTATATATACATATATATAGGCATTATAATATAGTGTATTGTGTATATATATATATATAATATGGATTAATTTGAATCGATCCATTGGTATCAATGGTATCAACAAGGTCATTGAATCAACAATTAGGACATAATATGTGATGAATTCCAGGGTCATCATGGGCAAAAACTGAGTTTTTCCACACCCGGTTAGACAAAAGGGCAACATCTTCCCTTTATGTCAGGAGAAATATATAAAAATTATAGAAATACCTCAATCTAAATCATCCAAACACATCCAAACATATTTGGTTAATCCCATATAAAACCCTCCATTTTGTTTAACCCAAACATCCCTGGTCATCCAAAAAAAGCATGCCCAAACATCAACGCGCAACGCCAAAAAAAATGTGGCAACCCGACTTGGCGGCGTTTTGAGAAGCTAAGCGAGCACCATCCAGCTCTTTGGCCTTCTTCAGGTTCTTGACCTGAAAGGTCCGAAGATGGTCCGAAGATGGTCCGAAGTTCAGACTTGTTTTTTCGTTTTGAATCATGAAAAGAAGGGTTTCGAACATTTTTTAAGTTCGATGTGTGTTTCTTTTTCAGATCTTTTGTTTTCGCCAGCAGAAAAAAACGAAACCATCCAAAAATTGCTAAGCCAAACAATGAGGCTTAACCAGAAACAGATTGGGATTCAACATGACTTGGTGGCTTCGCTGATACCCTGCTAAAAGTCTAACTGTTGGAGTCTAAGTCTGTGGTAATCCAAGAAAAGATCTTCAACATATTTCGCTCTTGGGGGCATGCACATTTAATTTGAAGATGGCTCAACATGATTTAGCTCAGCTTTCAGAAGCTTCTGGAAACCTGAGAAACCTCGGTTTTTTGTAGGGAACATATATGAAAATATGAGAATTGAGCACGCCAGGATCGTTGCAGTCCCTACAACGAGCTACCGTTTCAAGAGGCTTGTAATTGAGCAAAACAATGAGTTCAACAGACACGTTGCTGAACTTTCTGTTTTTTTCTGGTGGATGGGGCTTTCAGCATATGTATGGACTGTATGGATATGAAAAAAAAGATATACTCCCCAGAGAAGGCACAGGAATCCGGCTACAGACCACTGGAAAAAGGATCATCCCAGCATGCGGCAATCTTTTTTTTTTTGGACCATGTCAATTCCCATGAAAATTTGGTGGCCAAAGCATCACCAGGCTGGTAGTCATAATCCCACACAAGTGACCATGGCACTTTGATCTGGCATCGTCTCCGATAGTCTTCGAAAAAAAAAAAAAAACGCCCATGACACCTATGGCACTTTGATCATGGTTAAATCCCATTAATCAACATTAATCACCATTAAATCCCATTAAATCACCATTAAATCCCATTAAATCACCATTAAATCCCATTAAATCCCATTAAATCACCAATAAATATGAATCCAAAGATAGTTGTGAAAAAAACAAACGCTCTGTCCGACACCATGTTCAATCCAAGGCAACAACGGTTGACAGGACAAAGTACGCCATGACTTGCCATGTTTGCAGGACCAAGTCGCTAGGGTACGGCCAGAAAAAACTTGGGGTCAACCGTTTTGACCGAAAAATCCGAAGATTAGTTTGTCAACATGTCCCCTATGTAATCTATACATTGACCATATATCATACCTTATATAGTAAGCCCCAAAAAGGTAGACACTCAAGTTACTACTGTCTCAGTAGAAAATTACTTCTTGCATCTTTTTTGGTTTTGCTGTGTATATATATATATTATATTACTGCTTAAAGAAGAGTACCTATGGTTGGCTATAGATGGTCCTTCTGAAAATACTGACGTCTCGGCTGAGCCGTGCCTGGTAGGATTCGTAGACACCCATGCCACCCAGTATTCTGGCGGCCAGAGTCATTGAGAGAGTAGGCAGTGTCTGTGTCTGTCTGGGTGAAAGCAAAATGTGGGCTGAGGCGTTTGTGAAAAATTGGATTGAATAATTACAAAATACTTGGATATGGTTTTTTGGTCAAAAGCCCGGAACTCCATGACGCCGAAATATCTGGTAAATGGCTGTTCATCCCACATGGCACTCTAGGTCTTGACCCATACCAATATTGTATATACAGTATATATATATCATCTGATGCGCATTCCCTGGGGGTTGGGGTCCAACGACCATGAGATCACCCTGAAATTTTGAAACCCTCACCATGACACAGTGACCCAAATCTGGTACACCTGTCCATCCCCCAAATTGGATGACTACCATCCTGAACCCATCCGAAAGCATCATACAAACGTTTACGTCTACCAAGCATCCTTTGCTCAAGTTCACCAAGATGAGATACAATCTTGAGAGGAAACAAACTTAAAGGTTGATACCACAACCAGTAAGTGATAGAATACATCGCAACGAAACGTAAATCTCTGTATATAAAATACATTTTCTAAACATATTTTTTTCCGAGCCAGATGCACTGTTAGGGTTGAATCCATTTGTGAACATATTCCTCTAATCTCGGTACGACACAAAGCTTTTTTTTTAAAACCCTATAAACTATAGATGACATTAGGGTTTGAATAGGTAATCTAATGGTCATATACGTCGTTTTAACATGTTTTAACCATATTACACCATATTACAACATGAGGTTGTTTTTGACCAATGTAATTTAAGATGGTCACTAAAATTATACTGAGTAATAGTCATATTGTCGTCATTAGTCACTATATATAGCCATACATGGTCACTAAAATGGTCAATTGCATCTCAATTTCGAAACAGGCTGAGTGCAGCCAGGCTGGCCTGGCTTCCGAAAGTCTCCATGCCCCATGGTCAGTATGGCAATCAGCTCCACAAATTGGGATGGAACCCAATTTAACATCCAAAAAAACTATGGCAACTATCGTCTATTTAGGGAACACATCTATTAGGGGCATTGTCTATGGCATTAGCCGCACAAATGAGTGAACTATGGTTATGTACCCTCTGGTAAACTAACATGGCTATTGAACATGGCCATAGAAATAGTGGATTTTCCCATTAAAAATGGTGATTTTCCATAGTTTTTTGTATGTTTACCAGAGGGTAATGTTAAATAAGCCACAAAAATGTCGTGGAACACTGTGGAACTTAGTCCCCCAAGTCAGCACGTTGCACGCGGCAGGCACGTTGGAATCCAGGTCGGTGTCACGGGCAGAAGAACACAGACATGATGGTCCAAGGATAGTAATCCTGGAAGCCGGGCACCCGGGCAGGTGAACTTTATGGTATTTTTTTCTGGATGTTTAGACTGTTTAGATCCCCAACATATCTGATTGCTGGTGCAATGTGCCCATCTTGAAACATGATGGAGTTCGTCAATGGGAAGGATGACATCCCATATATGAAATGGAAAATAAAATTCATGTTTGAAACCACCAACCAGGGTGTACTCTCCGGTATTTTCACACAGCTGTTACAAATGTTACAAATGGTTGATTTACCAATCTCCAAAGTGGGGATTTTCCAGTTGGCTAAGATTACCAGTAGGGTAACAGCTTTTGATCACTCCCCACATCTTTGATAAACACTTTTCTTCCCGGAAACGTTGTAGTTTGGGGTTGTTTGACGTAATCATTTTCACCGGACCATCATCCCTCAAGACCCTTCTCAATCAGTCATCTTTGGGCACCCCTAAAGATGGATGGGTAAATACTAGAAAAATAGTCAAAGTTGGGGGTGTCTGAGGTTTTTGGATTTTGACTATACTATGGACACATGTTTTCGCATTTGTTCAGTCAACACACTGAATGTGATATACTATTATTTTTTGGAACTGTGATATGGTATTGATATTATCGAAAGGACATTGTATCCCCATTATCCAAAGGTTGTACTTTGTAGAACTATGTTCATTGTGGGTATAGGTCCAAATTGGATAGCCCAATAATTAAATGCTGACGCTGAATACTAAACATAGACATACTAAGCCATTAGTGCTCTCCGGGGCTTCAACTGTGACTAATCTCCATATACAACTACCCTTAGTAATCATTAGTAAGATGTTATCATATGTTATCCAAAGGATGATTGATATTGATATTATAACATGATTGACATCAATGTTACTATATTATCATTACCAGTATTATAACATCAATGGATATCATAACAATTATGTTATCAGTATTATAACATCAATGGATATTATATAATTACCATTAGTCATCATTATCAGTAGTAGTCATCGAATGCTTCATTGCAATTTTAATCCAAAGGAGATTCCCTCAATGCTACTTCATGGTACTTCCGTCAGCATCTCCTTGATTGCAGCCTCAGACAAGGACCTGCGAGGGCGAGGATCTGTGGAAAACAACAGTGTACCGTGGTGATGCGTTTTTTGCGGTGCACGACATAGAAAATTGGGGGGAGACCACAACCAATTGGTAGATGGAGGTTTCCTAAAATAGGAGTAGCCCCCCATATCATCCATTCTTATAGGATTTTCCTTTATTTTCACCATCCATCTTGGGGTACCCCCATGACTTAGGACCCCCATATCTTGGGAATCAACCATAAAAACATGGTATATCATTGGTGATATGCCCCGACACCCTCGCCATGGTTTTTTTCAGGCTAGGCATTTTGTGTTTTACTCAACGATGAAAATGGGATGATTTCACCCTCCATCAATCTGCCATACACTTTTTCGGATTTTATTTCTGCTTTTTTTGTAGCTCCCAAAAGGATACCCTCTGGCTATTTAACATAGCCATGGTATAGATGGCCTATTTATAGATGGTTTACCTATTAAACATGGGTGGATTTTCCATGGCTATGTTAGTCATAACCAGATGGATAATTGAAAAGTCTTAAAAAAAACTGGAAACTGGAACACCCAATAAGGCCATCTTTTGTTCTTTTTTTACGTATAGCGAAGTGGTTTTAATCACCGCTAAAAATCGAGAACGGTGAAGCAACATGTTTTCATCATCTACAAATGGGCTATTTTCCATAGCAATGTTGAATAGCTCTAGAGGGTATCAGACCTACATGAAATCACCACGTTTCATGGTGATTTAACTCCCATTCATGTGGTAAACCCATAAGGTAAGCCATTCCCAAGTCACCATTTTGATGGATGGTAGAAGCCATCCCCAGTCATGGTAGTTGTTTATGGCTGCCAGGGTCTCCCAAGGCTATGGCATGCTATAGCTATATGACTCCCATAATGAAAACTCATAAAATCTCCCATTATTACTATAAGTTTTACCCATTAAAATCCCCATAGATCCTATTCAAATCCTATAAAAAAATCATTTTCCATGGTGAAACCTCCCATTCATCCTATGAAATCTCACCATTTTTCATGGTTTTTTCCAGGCCAAACAGGTCCTCACCTGGAAACATCTTGCTCATCCGCCACACAGTCCACCACCTTGTGCCTGACTGAGGATGGAGGACTCCTCCAATGACCGGGGGTTAAAAAAACCAATGATTATGAGAGGATATTAATGATGAAAACATGGTTATTAAATGTTATTAATATTAATATTCATGGTTATTATCATGGTTATTAACTAATGAACGGGATATTCATAGGTTATTAATCGTTCTGAAATAGCGTTTAATGATGAAACAATTTGAATAGCTTTTACTAGGGTTCAACAGCGTAAAACAATGTTATTGATAGTTATTAACAGTGTTTATATAATGGTTATTTTCACCATGATAGCAGTTTGCGCACAAGTTGTAACCATGTCTATGAAATATCAGCTATTAATGGTTAATTGGTGTTTAATACTTATGATGTGTTATGAAAAGTGTGATTTTCCTTTTCGTTACTGTTACTCTGGGATTCACCCATTTCGTGAGAGTTGCTTTTTGTTGCTGGGTGGAAAAGCCACGGAGTTTCCAGCCCTTCGGAAAATGATCAAAATATAAGTGGTTGGTGGTTGAGCCCTACCCCTCGGACAAAATAGATGGAAAAGTAAAATTCATGTTCCAAACCAACCAGATAAGATGTTTTCCACATCTATGTTAGTTTACAGGAGGGTATATGTTTAGATTCTCGTGTGGTTTTCACCAATATCTTCTGCCCCTTTCTGCGTCAGACTGAAGATAGTCAACACGGTTAACTACAGAAAATTGGGACATAAAGCAACAGTGGGGATATCCCTTGACCATGCTTGTTGATTGAGATTACGCTTCCTCAACCTATACATATCATAGTTGTAGGCTTCCCATCGATTCGGAAGCAACCAATTCTTTGATCAACATAGCTGATGTAGATCGGCATGGATTTTCGGTGGAACCATACCCATACTCATATTGCTTATGTTGTACTTTTATTTGCATCATCAGTAGGTTTCTATGATATACTCATGGATAGATGCTGAACAACTCCTAGCACGTAGGCCCCTCAGTTACGTTTGTTTGTTCATAAACCCCATTATTATAATATGACTGAGCTATCGTTCGGGGGGAGTTACCTGGGTAGATCCTCCAACACGTTGACGAAGCTTCAGCCCAGCGACCCCTTGATCTTCAACATACGGTCTGCCTCCAATCCTGTGGGGCTCGACTTGGAAGATGTCTCTTAAGTTCGGAAATCTGAAAGAAAGCCATAGATTTAGCTATTGCTATGTATGACTGCTTGAACTTAAAACTGTCAGTGCTACTAAAAAATGAGACAACAACCATCAGTGAAGCCTCCACCAAATATAAAATCATATTAAAATCCATATTTTCCATCCTATGCCTATCATTTCATCAGTCGTTGGTCGTTTTTTTTTTGTGTCAAGCCATCCGGTCAGTGACTGTCACTGTGACAGTCGTTCTCACTTCGGGATCATCCCATGAGGCGTTGCAGCCAGCGGAAACAAACCAGCGGAATCTATCCGGGATGGGATCCGTGTTTGTTGCAGCATATATACCCATGACGGATCCATGGTGCTGGTATATATGCTAACATAAAGGGGCTATATTGATGGGATCCATGTTACCATATATAGCAGCACCATGGATCCTATGGGATATAAAATCCTGGGAATGCTATGGAAATGAACTGGAACTGAACTGGAACTTCTGAGAATGATTTCTGGAAATACGTCACGGAAACCATAGGAATTCCGAATTTTCTGGGAATGGTATGGAAATGGTGAGATTTGCAGCAAACCTGCTAGAGATCTGCTGGGGAAACAACAAAATCAACACTGAATTGAACATCAGCAAGATCACTAACTACCGCGCTTGGCGGCGCTGGGTCAATCCTTGGGAAATCAAAGGCAATGGAACATCTCACCGTTTTACAATTGATTTTCCCCCAAAAAAACTGGTTGAACCATCTTGAAAAATATGAGTTCGTCAATGGGAAGGATTATCCCATATATTATGGAAAATAAAAAATGTTCCAAACCACCAACCAGAAAATCTGTCCATTGCTATGTTTGACTACTGGAGGCTATGCTTGCAAACATAACATCCATTCTTCAACTCTGGATGTCCCCCCGAAAATGTCCACTGGAATTTGCTGGGAAATGGATCCCCATATTCTGGGAAAACGTACACAGAGATTGGATTTGAATTTGTGAAACACAGGTCACAAAACTTACCCTCCGGTAATCAAAGATGGCAATGACAACATCATGATGTTTCTCCCAGAAAAAACCTCCATTGAGTCCGGCAATTTCCCCAGCTGGTCCTGTGACTTGAGCAATGAATGCGAGGACGGCCACAAAGATGGAGAAGAAACCGTTCACGACTCCCAACCTTTGCAACATCATGCAACGTCTGGTGGCTAAACACTGAACACTGGAAAACATGATTTTTTCAAACCTTGGCAACTCAGGGAACTCAGGAAGCCAATGCCTTTTTTGTCCAGTGTCATCCCACTTCCGGTGCAATCTGAGGTTTGATACATGGTATACATTTGATAGCCTCTAGAGCATAGAAATGTCAAAGAAAAGAGAGGAATCTACAGAAAATGAAGAGGACTTGTGGATAGTTGTGTATACTTGTGGATAGTTGTGGATAGTTGTGGATAGTTGTGGATACTTGTGGATAGTTGTGGATAGTTGTGGATAGTTGTGGATAGTTGTGGATAGTTGTGGGATGTCATGGGATGTCATGGGATGTGACAGATTCACATTGGGACACAGGGGATACACCAAATGGAACCATGGCTGGCCACACGACTACCAACGATCAGTTCGCACAATTGAGCCCAGCGGCTTGCCGCAGTAGCCAAAGTTCGCGAAGAAACCCTGGACGAAGAGGAAAATCCCATACCTCTCAGGAAACGCTTCGCTGCTGTTTTCTTTCAGCCATCCACAGACCAAGTTTGCTGAGGCTTTGATTGGATGTCGATCCAGCAACGCTCATATTTGATGGGTTGCTATGAGGGCGTGAGAGCCTAAGCATGTGCCCCGATCGGATTTGAAGGTTTTTTTTGCTATTTGGCTCCATTGCACTTTCATATCCCCTCACGGTATTTCAGCAAACATGGATGACATGGCAACCATCGCACATTTTGGTACAGAAAATATCAACGGAGGAATCTTGCGCACATTTTCCTAGCCATGAATGGCTACTGGACGGTTAACCACGTTAACCCTCCACTCTGGCGGGGTTGATAATGTTGCGCACCATCCTCATGTGTCTTGAGTATACTGAGTATACCATCCGATCAAACATGGCTAGCTGAAAAATCCACATTTATATCCCATAGGATCCATGTATGCTATATATGGTAACATTTACCATCAATATACCCCCAATGATAGCATATATACCATACATGGATCCTACGGGTATACATGCAATGTATTAGTCACAAATCTAAAGGGGATTTCCCAGCTACCCATGGAGCTGATTCCCGAAGGGTACCACATGGTACCACCATCAGGCGGCGCTGTCGGTGTGATTTGAAACAGCCAATACAGCATCAGTATTGATGGATATTGTTGGTATAGCAAGTGATTCAGTGACAATTTCGAGTACCCTCCGGTAAGCAAACGTAATGATTGGACATCCCCCCATTTATAGATAATTTTCCCATGAAAACCTCCATTTATAGATGATTCCACTAACACCGTCATTTATATGGGATTTTCGGATTCTCCATTACCATAAATTTTGGGGCAACCCAGCTGGCTGTGTTGACCCAGCGACCAAGCATAGCCGGCTCGCCGCGCTTAACTGCTGTGATTTAACTCCCATCAACCAAGTTGCTGCACGAAGTTCTTTGGGAAACCTTGGACCTGCTGCAGCAACACCATGCCACACAATCTGGATCAATTCAAAAATCAATAGACTTCACCAACCTGAACAGTTAATTTTGGGATGTTTTGGGATTATTGCTTGAATCCAATTCCATCCAATTCCCATGATTGAACTGTGACGTTGCGACCGTTGCCACAGGTTCCACTGGAACTTCGCATTGCGATTCCATTGGTTGAGGATTCATTATTCTCGACTGGATTGTCTAATGGTTCCCCGCACCACGATAGAAAAATACTTCATCACCAAATTAGATTAAATTCGTGGGACATTTACTTTTGAATGTTGTTTGGGGTTACTAGTACCATATGACATTGACATAGTTTCGAAGTTACACATGACTTCGGAAGAATGGATCCAGGTTTGGATCCCACATTCCTCAATTGGAGATGGGTTTGACAAAAAGGGATGCCCCAATAATTGCAAACTCAATTCATCCAAATTCAATGGTCTAACAACAGACTTCGGACATTACCAGTACATAGTACTATATCGTTTCAGGTTTACCCCAAACATATTTTCGAATTTTAGCCATCATCTTTGAAAGGCCCTGGCCTGTAGCAGCACTGGTCGGTACATGAAAATACCAAAGAGGCCCACGAACAACGTCCTGGAGTCGCTGCGTCGCTTTTGTGCAGGAGTTGCCCTCTAGGCGGTCATTTCAGATTTCAGAATTTCATCTCTTTTAAAATATGTTTCCCCCAAATTTGTAGGATGAAATATGGATTGTGATCTCTTTTTGTTCCTCAATCTATTAGTTGCTTCGTGGCCCTGAGGCCACAACGTCATGTTGGGCAGCGCCGGCAAACCTGAGGCCAAACGGCTGGAGGTTTATGAAAAATCATCCTGGGTAAACATTGGATCTGATTGATGATTTCTATCCCATCATGATTCCCTTACCCATAGGATCCATGTATGGTATATATGCTAACATTGGGGGTATATTGATGGTAAATGTTACCATATATAGCATACATGGATCCTATATGGGTTATAATATATGTAAATTCCATCGAAAAAACACGATGCTCCAGTGAAGTATTCGGCAATTTGGCAGTTGATCAGAATTTTCATGCACCCAAATACCACACAGTTTTTTTGTTGCCCGCAAAACACTCATATTTTGCCAGACCCAACATGGTCATTCAACCCCCCAAATGTGGAGGCAATCTTTGGAATGTGGGATATAGCCAACCATTTTTTTGTTGTCATCTGGGTTAGCATTTCAGTGGTTCCGAAAAATATTAAGGGATCTGGCTAAAATTTGCAATGTTTCATGGAAGTTGTCGACACCTCATCACAGTTTCATCTTAATCCCAGATTAGTGGACATGTCCCAGCATCAATGACGCACAACTAAGGCTCCGTGCAGCAGTCAGTTTTTGTGCTGAGAACTTGCCCAGTAGCAGGATCCAAGGTTATCAGCTACTAGTGAGAATGTGCAGGAGCAAGTCCAAGGGAGCAAACTGATGATGATCAGCATTTAAGTGCTAACAGACTACTTTCTTTAACCCTGTCAGTTTTGCTCACCTGACACCGTGCCTTACACGCTCATGCTCTTTCTAGATGAGCGCATCAATTTCTAGGCTTTGACGGGACAAAATCCAAGCTTTGCATCAACAGCATGCGTTCGCGGGGCTGAAAATCATACGACTTCGGTAAAATAGCAATCTAAAAACTCTGCAAGGTGCACGCTTCAGGAAAGCTTCTGCTCAGAGCAAGGAGTTTGCATCAAGGACTGCTTGGATTAGCTAGACACGAGTGTGGCTTCCGAATCAAGATATGTGAGGCGAATTGAGGCGATGTCATAAAATCAAAAACACTGGACACTATTGAAGATCAACATAATAATGAAAAACAATCATGCCTCATCTTGATTCCGGATCTCCGCGTGTCAACCTTTTAACGTCGTCATGATCCTCTTGCCTACTACTTTGGGTGATCATGCTTGTCACCAAACATTCAAAAGGAAAAATCTGTGAGCAAGGATATTTTTTTGAAGTTTGTGGAATCTCTTGCTGCATGCTGTCTAATGAATTTGCCAAACTCTTCGCTCACTCACCCCTTCAGCAGCCACAGGAGCCACAGCAGCCGCAGGAGCCACAGGAGCCACAGCAGCAGTACCACTAGTAGCTGTGGGAGACGCAGCCAATGATGCACCAGTGCCTGCACAGGGGCCACACTCAAACCCTTCAACGTCTTTAGCTAACCTTTCATTGTGCAATCGTGGCATCAAATGACTAGGAAAGCTGGCAGCATGCCACCGAAGGGTGGTTTAATACTAATATTATTTTAGTAATAATTAATGTGGTCTTCACAAAGAAGCACCTCAAAATGCTCCATTGACACGCAAAGGTGATGCAAAGTTGGCAATGCAGGTTAAGCCTCAGCATGAAGCTCGTTGCCATGGGCTCGGAAACAATGAGCAAGTGTTGGCACATGGAATGCTGAGATGCTTTCACTGGTAGCACAGCAGTCCCAACAAAGTGAATTACTTGGCTATACCTGGCTGACATTTTGTGCAAGCGCCATCACCATTGACATGTCCAAAACCTATCTCAACAAACTGGCTCAAAGCAAAATCGGCTCTCTGCAAATGTAAGGCCTGTGAGCCGCTGAGTGCCGCTGAGCCGTGTAACCGCAAAAGCGGCTCACTCACCGGGGCTGTCTGGTTCCATTGGGGCTTCTTCAGGGTTGTCCTTGGGAGCCAAGTTTTCCAGGACATCTGGGAAAAACTTCTTCACGTCTCCTGCCAAAGCTTCATTGAAAAGAGTTGATCCCTCCAAGGTAATTAGCCCGCAGGCGGCTCTGTCCGCAATGGCCTGGAGCCAGTGCTGGTGTTCCTTGTTCAAGCACAGGCCGTGGTAGACAACGCCTCTGGTGAGGCTGGCTTCCATGAATGCGCCGGAGCCGGCTGTCACATCGAAAACTGCGGTCACCTTGTACTCGTCAAGGATTGCATTGAAAAAGCTGATGGGCTTGGACTCTTGCCAAAAGAGTGGCACTGCATTGTCCCCAAAGCGATCTGTCCAGTCCTCCGGAGGAGCCGCAGAAGCCGCAGAGCCGAGGACCTGTGCTTTTTCAGTCAATGACATCAGGGGAAGTTCATAGGAGGACCGAAACTCCACTCCACTATAGCTGCCTTGAAAAGTCGTGGCTTCTCCACAGGACGTGAAATTTTCACGCTTAGATGTCTTCACCCGCACCCGTTGTGTTGGGAAGCGAACTGCCGCTGTTTCGATTTTGCGAGCACCCAAAGGGATCCTTCGCATGCGGCCAGCGCCCGCAATGCATCCCCCTGAGTAGACCAAGTGCATTTCCTCTGACTGTGGCTGAGCGAGCACCGCCTCTTCCTTGCAAGTTTCAGGTGATGCAATTGAAAGCTGTATGTGCGAAGAATATGTTCTTGATGGCTTCGGAAATCAGCAACGTTACTGAGCCCGTATTTTACCATGGAAGCACATCCCTTGCGCAAGACTGCGCTCCTCACATCCGCATCTTCATCATGATCGGAAAAAGAACGAAGGAGGGAGGGAGGGAGGGAGAGAGAGAGAGAGAGCGCAATAATAGCAACCATACCACCATCAGCAAATAACCTCGTTATCAGCAGCGGCATCAGCATTAAAAGCATCAACATGATCATCGACATCAGAATCCTCAGCAACCTCACACCTTTGTTTTTACTCTGAAGAACTGCAAGATCATGAGCAAGCACAAGAACCAGAACAAACAAACAGGAGCAGCGGCACCACCACCACCACCACCACCACCGCCACCACCACCACCACCCCACCAGCAGCACCAGCACCAGCACCAGCACCAGCACCAGCACCAGCAAGCGAAGCCGTCATGTTCGAGCCACGGAAATAATCCATTACATGTGGCCTGGCCGCTTGGAGCTTCTGGAAGGGGCTTTTGTGTCTCCAAAGGAACTGCTTGTCTCAAGTCCTGAAAATTGCACATTGCTTGAATCAGATAGCAACAAAATATACAAAGTCTGACTTTTCCAGCATGCTGCATGCTGGTAAATCAGCTCTGTTTCTGCTACAGTCCACATGAAAAAAGCAACCTTTCAAGGAGCCTATCTGACCTTTCAGAACCTAGAAGGAGATGAACCATGCATTGAAAGGTTGCAGGAGTGAACCGAAAGGACAAGTTCGCGCGCACAGAAACATAAAGAAACCAGAATCCATTCTGCAGCTGAAGCTGCAATTTCACTGAGCACCTAGCTTGCTTCAACCAAGAGCAGCCGCGATTCTGGGGGCAACCGTAGGCACCTCCTTTGCTTTCCAGTTGCCTCAGGCTTCCAGCGGGTATTACTGGTTTTTGAAGAGTCCATGCGCATGTACACATGCAGCCGCATTGTCCTTCTTAAGGCAAGAAGCAGCGACTGTGAAATGCAAAGTTCCTCAGGACCATCGTGATAAGTGAAAAAATGCCAACTTGGGAACAAAACAGGGCTTCAGGTCACTGTGGGGCTGAGCGTCTTAAGAACGTGGATGCATTTGCAAGCATTCACAACACAAATGTGGCTGGTTAGCTCAGCCTGGAGGTTCAGCATCTTCAGACAGTGCTGGTTCGGCCAAGATTGCAAATGCTCAACCACTTTGTCCAAGACATCGTCAGCTGCAGAGCCACACCATCGGCCAAAGAGTTTGCTATAATTACCGTTCCTGACAAGATTGACGAGACATTGTATGAAGTGCTTTGAAAACAATGTCTCTGATGCTTCTCAATTCTTTTAGCCGTGATTCCAGTGCGAGCTGCATTCCTGGCTGGCTCGCGCCAGACGTCCCAGGGCTTCTAAAGTCTGTAGGAAATGCGTACCCATAAGTTTCGATGCATCACACTGAATCATATCCAACCTTGCCACAGGGCCAATTTGAAAATCAAATGCCCATGCATATACTGGAGACATGCTTTTTTCGCATTGCCAAAATTGGGATAGATGGTAACCACAAAGTACGCTCCTTGACAAGAAGCAAATGGCATCTAGCGTGCCATCCAAAAATTGCCCACAGAGACTCAATGCCCCTGCGAGGCGCAACTGCCCCAGATCACGGTTTGGTCGCAACTTCTTGCCATGCTTGGAAATCACTCTGGAAGGCATGTAAGCCTTTCGTTGTCCTACGCCATTGGTGTCTCGGAAGAATTGGTGGATCACACCGAGCAATGAAATCCTTTGCTGAGAGCATGTCTCAAACACATACTGAGCAAAATCAGGGGACCTAAGGTATGTAACTATGATCACAAGCCCGAGCTGTTCACGACTCTCAAGTCGTTGCACATGTGGCGTCGCCAAGATCTTCACCAAATAGTCCGTCACCTTGTCACCTCCTCAAGGAGAAGACAACTCACAATGCAAGAGGGCTACATGATGCCATGGATACGCTCATGAGCAACACACATGGACACATCACTGGAAGACTCGGGCAAGTTCGGTTTGATAGTCAAAAGCAAACACAAAGGGTAAATATCTAAGCATTCTGAAAGGAATGGCTTTTGTAGTGCCCCCAGACCAAAGCAAGAAATTGCAACTGCTTGCGCTCATGAGAAGCATGCCTGGGCACATGCCCTGCATGCCTACACCTCTGCATCTAAGCCTTGCAATCAAGGCTCTGTGCTTCATCAATGAATGCAAGAAGCTGCCTCTACAGCTGTCTAGAAAGGTAAAAGGGGCCCCTTCCAGTCTCAAAAAAGGGTTGTCGGTGTGCAAGATCTGCAGCATCACGTTGTCAGGATCCTCCCAAGGTGCTTCACTCAGGATCCCTTCAGGAATAGCTAGCCAAGAAAGTTAACTGCAGCACGATAACCTCTTGAACTACCCTTGGTTGACTGCGAGCAACCCTTCTATGCCCAACTTGCTTCTACATGGCAAGGGAAAGGTCCCACAGGGACATTGAAAGGTGGTGCCATGACAAAATCTTATGCTTTGTCAATCAGTATCAGTAAAATATCATAGACCTATGCAAATAATAGAAATGATAGAACATGATGACATCTGGGATTGTCCTTCCCTAGGGGTGGAATTCGACAACCGGCTCGATAAGTCATGTAGGCAGCCAGGGCTGCCTTGGATCCGAGGCCAAGCACAAAACTACTATAACTTTCTGGCAGTCAGGGCTCGATGCAATGCAGGCCAGTGGCAACAGGAACTACAGCCAGGTCAAAATCCCTGAAAAGAAATTGCACCAATGACAGCAAGTTGGCATCCTTTCCCTTAACGCAGCTCCGAGCAGCCTCAGCGCAAAAAGATTGCAGGATCCAGCGAAACAGCTTCTCAAACAGATTGCGTTTCAACCTCCCTATCCAAAGCCAAGAAACCATCCAAGAAGCTCGCTGGACACGGCCCCACTTGTCGCTAGCTTCCCCAGAGTTTGCAGCCTTTAGCCAAAGCTTGACGGCAGCAGCAGGGTCAACAGGCGTTGGCGCCATGGCCTGGCGCAGGAAGCAACCCTTCAATGTCAGCTGTGCAGCCTTGGAGGCTCGTATTGGCCCATTTTACCTTTCAATGTATAGTCCCCTGAGCTTTCGATGACAAAAGCTTGAAAAATGAGTTTTTACACCTTTCAATTCCATGGCTTGACCTTTGGTGGCAACCACAAACATCAGCCCAATTGGTTCTCGCGAGCCAGGGGCGTATTGCACAGGGGCAACATATGCAATAGGAGCGTATTACATGGTGGAAATCCATCTTGATTACGGGCCTGGTTCTTAAGAACCGGGAGCGTATTGAGAAGCATGCTAACTTTAGGAATTCAGAAACTGAGGTGATGCGTAATGTGAAGGGCAATCCCCTTTATAATACGCAGCTGGTTCTTAAGAACCAAGGGCGTATTGCAAGGGGGAGCTTTTTTGCTAAGATTCAGAACCCCCAAGTTGAGGCCGGAGCATGACAGTGCTCTTCACTGTCATCCAACCTTCGTCAAGAACATACCTGACACACCCCTTGAGCGGCGAAGCATGCGAATTGATCGCACAAAAGACCAGAAGTCCTTCCATGTCACCACCTTCTTTACAGGCACCTTCTTGCTGGTATGCTTGCAGCCAGTCGCTGGTTTGCCTAAAGTGTGAAGCCGCCAGCGGGAACCACGAGCTTCAGCACATATCTTGAATGCTGAAGCTACCAGCCCACACCTGGCACACATCTGAATCTGCAATATATGGATGTGATCTTTTGCTTCAAACCTTTGAAACTTTAAACGTTGTACTCTACGTGACAAGGTCTCAACAAAGTCTTTTGACATTGTGAATTCTGTCCTGGCAACATCGCCAGAAACCTCTAACGAAAGAGCTCGGGTTCTCGCTGCAGCACTGAACCAAAGGAAGGATTCTGGATTCCAGTTTTTCCTGTCCGGCGTCTCCACAGCAGATTTCTCCGCAACCACCTTCCCCAGGCCATAGCAAACCAGCAAAGCTGCAGCCTCAGATGGTCCAATGTCAGATGCTGCAGGGGGGAAACCCCATCGCTTTCCGAGGTTTGGTGGCGGCATGAAAACAGCAGGAGTTCACAATGATTTGCTTTAACTTGAAATTTATTCATTTCCTACACTGCCTACTCCCCAATGTAGAATGTCCATGATAGTTTCAAGCCTACAAACCTACAAACATCTTTGCCAAATCGCCTCTGAGCCTCTGAGCAGCAATCCAACGCAAAGTCTCTGAAAAAATGTCAACAACATGAAATAAGATTAATTATTGTTATATGCTTCTTCCCAACAGAAGCCTCCTGGCTGTGCATGCCTGCAACGGAGGAGGCGCAGCTGCAGAGCTGCAGTAGGGCCACACCTGACCAGCAACGAAACATGCAAAACAAGGCACATTGCATTGACAGAAGAAGCGGCTAAACCAAACCAACTGCAGCTGCTGTGCAACGTAGTAGTAGAATATAAAATTCCCTGTGCTCTTGGCGCTAAGAATGATGTAATTATCATAATTTGAATGTTTACTTTTGGGCTTGGAAGCAAGGAAATGCGTCTTGATCCCTTTTGGCGGTGTTGAATGGGAAACATTGGGAGGCAGACAGCCCATCTCTTTTCCACGCACTTGCCATGGAAGAAGTCTGTTCAAAATGCTGCCTCATGCAGCTCGTCTGCCAGCAGATCATTGATGTGTCTGCCAGGCATCAGATGGATCCGCAAAGCCGCTGTTGCCGTCCCCATCATTGCCCCCATCGTCATTGGTCTCCCATCCGGCCCATGGATCTGCCTCAGGAGCCGCAGAAGCCTGAGGAGCCGCTTGAGGAGCCGCTTGAGAGGCTGCTTGAGGAGGCGCTTGAGTTGCCATCCCTGGGCCAGGACGCACTGGCCCTTGAAAGGTCGTGGTTAACGGTGCTCCCCAGCCAGTGCCCTGCCCGCTTGGCTTGCCCCAGCCGCCAGAGCCGCCCTTGCTGCCAGAGCCGCCCCAGCCGCTGTTGCCGCTCCAGCCGCTGTTGCCGCTCCAGCCGCTGTTGTTGCCCCAGCCTTTTTTGCCGCTGCCCTTCTGTGCTGCAGCGCGGCTCTGCTCGGCATCTCCGGTCTGCCGCATCGTGTCCACGCAATACTGCTGGGCTCCTCCTTGCAGCAATCCCAAGTGGAGGCCGCCCGGAGCCCTCTGGCATCGAGCAACGCAGATGCTGTAGGGCGCGCCAACAGCATCCAAGCGGCGGATAAGCTGCAAGGCCACCACGTGGCAGGTGCCGCTCTTCTTCACTGCGATAGCCCGTTCCTGAAACGCAACACCATCAAAACCAGACCAATCTGTTGTCAAAAAATGAAATCGATCTTTCATTGAAGCTTGTTTTAGTCCACTGTGCAACCATGAAAAGAATTTGAACATCCCAAAAAAACTGCCTTCCAGATACGCACAGAATAGAAAAGCGTGGGCGCATTCTGCAAGCCCTGGCCCAAAACAAACCAAGAATCCACCTGGTAGCCATCCCACACCAATCCAAAATCATCTGCTCCATCTCCGGCGAACATCACGTCCACTTCCCTTTTCTGTCGGACCATGAAGTCATCGTTGACGAAGTCCCCCTTCACAATCTCAGCCTGAAAAGTGGAAAAAATGAGGCGAGCCCTGAGATCTTCATATTCAATTTTGAACCTTGATTGAAATTGTTTTTTGCGCCATTATTGTCATTATTTTAACTATTATTATTAATAATTATTAGTGTTGTTGCCTATAAAATTATGAATGATGATGGCTATTGTCCTTCTGGTCGCGCCCAAACATTGAATCATGTCACCCCAGCCTTCAATGTGAACAGCGGGGTCACGAATTTCTTGTTGGCCGTCTGGATGGGTGCAAAACGCAACACGTAAAAGAAGCCGCTGGATGTGACCCAAATTGACGAGTTGGTCATTGCGACCCCGCCGTCCACAAGCTGCGAAAAGCCAGGCTCCAAAATGGAAAGGATGCAGAGCATTTCGTTGTGGACGGTCTTGTCGTTGTCAGCTGAGAAGAGCAATCCAGCCCTGTGCATCTCCTGACGATGCGGCTCGAAGGCGGCATGGAAAAAGCTGTTCTTCAGGAGCATCTTATTGCGAGCCTCCAAGGCGACCGTCTCATCCTCATCCCCTTGAAGAGCAAGCAAGCTGCGAGGCTCAGACCGTCCGACTCCCAAGCCAGACTTGTTCAGGAAAGCCTTGACAAAATGCAAGCAATCCCTGGCGTAGATTGTGATGTGCATGAGTTTGCCATCGTCTCTGTTAAACGGGAGGGCCCACCCAGCCCAGCCGTCTGCCTGCAAGATGGCAAAACAAAACATCCAGTGAAAACGAAAAAAGTAGCGATGATTGATGCTGGGTGTTTTTCTTTATTATTAAGTTTAGAGGCAACTTCCTACTATTTGTTCTGGATAGCTTTGGCTGTGCCAATGAGTTCCAGCCCTTACGCACGATTCACGGTGCTCGAAACTTGAAAACTTAAAATCAACATGTTTGGCAGCTGTTCAGAACCCTGTCCTCGACTTCTTGAAGATCATAGCCTCTGGCCTGTCCATTCATCACAAAGGGTAGCAGCAGAATCTTCCCCGTGTACACGGTGCCCTGCTCTGCGGGAGTAACTTCGCAAAACTGGTCCAGAATCTCCCGGGCACAAGATGCAATCTCAGCGGCCCCGGGTCATTGAAAGGTTGGACAACACACACACGGATTACATTGCCCAGATCTTTTAAGCTTTGTTTCATTTTTGTTCCAACAAACTTGGAATGCTTAGCCAAAATTCAAACCCATGATGCCCATCCAGCCAAGCAGCGACTTGCCAGCGGGGGGGAACGCTCTGACGCATTGGCATGACCTGCAGCAAATTCTTGGCTTCGTCCACCACCGATGGATCAGGCAACTTCATACCTCAGACGAGCACAGCTCGCGCGTTGGCTTAAGAAGCACTGGCCAATTGACCCCAGTCATGGTCTCTGAAATAGCAAAACAAATATATTTATTATATTACACTAATATCTTATTATATGTGTGCATGATCATATGCGAGTAGTATAACCATAATCAACCTAACGAAAAACAGATTCACCTTGAATCCTTTTTCTGCCCCCCTTTTTGCGTACTAGGGACTTGCAGCCACTTCATCCATAGCCGCCTTGGTCTTGGTGCCGCCAGGAAAGAAGGAGCTCAGCAGGACATTGAAGCCAGCAAAGGCCCAGGTAAAGTCCACTTCAGTGTTGTAGGTGTTCTGCATCCAGTCTGGAGCCATGGCAATGTCACAGGCGTGCCGCAGGATCTGGTCATTGCTCAGGAGGCAAATGTTGGGGCGGAATTGCCTCATGTTGCGCACCAAAGCCTCTGCAATCTCAGCACGTTGATCTCTCACCTGCTGCGTCATCACCGTGAGATCCACAGACGCTGCAGCCGCTGAAGCCGAAGAAACCGCTTCAGACTGTGCCACTTCGGAATCCACAGGAACACCAGTCACAACCACATCTCCTGGTGCCGGCCCGTCTTCATTCGCAACGTCAGCACGGTTGGCAGATTGCCTTCCTCCGCTGAAAAGACCGCGAAATGCTGCAGCCATTGAAGCGATTCAGCCAACAAAAAGCCGCAAAGCCGATGGAGACGCTGAGCCGGTGGGCTGCACTGCTGGAGGTATGTGAAAATCTCCCCAGAGGATCTTGGCAGATGAAAGATGATGCTGTCTTCCAAATTTCTTATCCCCAAAACACCAGCATGGAAACTATCAGCCACACCGGCTCACATGGGGCGAGCCGGTGCTGCAAGAGGCGCTGCCGCAAGTGCCAGAAGCAACCACCTGCCGAAACACAAGGATGCCAAGATGGGCCGGGAACCAACAGGGTAGATGAATGGGGGGATGGCTCACCATTTTAAAAAGTATATGTCCATGCCGCGAACTTCTGATTGCATTGTGATACAGGTCCGGTTAGTTCTGTCAACAGCAGCTGTAATAAGTTTTTCACCACACCAGCCAGGAATAATCAGTCCATATATTGCATATGTACCTCCCTCTAAAGATATTATATATAATATATACACAAGTTGTAAAAGACATTAATTTGTGCATTTATTGGTTATGGTAGTCATATATGATATTTTAAATAAAATAATATAATAATATATAATAGTTTTTTTTACAAGACACATAATATGAATGAAAATTAGCACAGTCACCATCATCATCATCATCAGCATCGAATCATCATCATGCACTTCCTTACTATTACTTCATTATACCAAGCTCAGGGAAGCAGTCATTAACACAGAAAATTAGAACTGAGAGAATCCATCAACGGCCCTAAGCACCTCTGGAGAGCGTGCTGGCTACCTGCACAAGTGGGCTGTCGGTGGCAAAAAGGTTCGGGGACTCTAATGGATGGATCTGGCTTTGAGTGGCTCTCATGAAACCATACCTAGTAGTAGATTATCTAGATGGAGGCAACTAGGGACAAAGCTGCTCACCCCCAACAGCACCTGAATGAGAGCAGCAGGCCAGAACAACGCCGCGGAAGGAGGCGCAAGAGCCGCAAAAGCCGCAAAATCAGCAGCCGCAACAGCTACAGCAGCCGCAGCAGATGCCAAAACACCTGACAGGGGACGTGGCCCGCAAGTCAACTAATGATAGTAGACTAGAAACCCTTCGACGAATGGAATCCACCCTTCCCTATCCAAAACTAAGAATTATGGCAGGGAAGGGTTGACATCTGCAACCAAAAGGTTTGTTTACCCCCCCCTTTGCACACGACGGAGGCGCACCTCAATTTGGGAAGCTGCTCACAGGAATGCAGGGCTTAGAATGTAATTCGTGACACATTACTGCACTGCTGTGCTGTGTGTTTCTTCCTGTGTCTTGAGCTTGAAGGACGCCGGCCAAGCGAATGAGGAAGCAAGCTTTTTAATTCTCCAGCCACCCAAAACGCAAAAAAATAAAAAATGTCCAAGCGGCTAACCTAGTCATATAGTCCAATCAAATCTTTAGGGCCTCAGCAATGAAAATTGGATATACCCTTGGGTCATTTTAACGTTGCGAACTGGAGAATCACCATTTTATAGTTAGCTAAATCATCAAATTATCCTACATATATATATATATATACATATAAATGGGCCATGGTTTCCATAGCTTTGCAATAAATAACCAAAGGCTAGCCTCTGGCCTAGCCTCTGGCTATCGGAATCTGATGAGCTTCTGGGGAGAACGGCTAAAAACCAAATAGTTTCGTGAATGCAAAGGTGTTTCAAGAGGATTTGGGCCCCAACCTCCCTTTTGACAGTCTATATATATATATATATCTATCTATAAATAAATATATATATATATCTATATGTATGTCATTATATGATATTATATGTCTATACAGTTTGTAGGCAAAAAAGTCTATATACCGTGGTTGCTTTGGGTTCCATCCAATTCCTGCAACATGCGATTGACGACTGGTCAGCTTGGGACTGTCCAAAATGGTGGATGGCCCAGTGCTTCAAGTTCCCCTGTGAAACTTGAGAGGGGGGGGACGAAAGGTAGGGGGGAAAAGACAGGAGGGAGAGGCAAGAGAAGGTGCGACTGTTTGTAACGCAAGCACGCCGACGACGACGACGACGACTACTACTACTACTACTACTACTACTACTATGAGGACTACTACTACGACGACGACGACTACTACTACTACTACGACGACGACTACTTCTACTACTACGACTACTACTACTATGACGACGACGACGACTACTACTACTACTACTACTACTACCACTACTACTACTACTACTACTACTACTACTACTACTCCTACTCCTACGGCTACTACTACGACGACGACGACGACTACTACTACTACTGCTACTACTACTACTACTACTACGCCCAGGCCCGTTACACTTTACATTCAATTGGGAAGATCAACAAGGGTATTAGGGAATATTAAACTCCCACCCCTGTTAAACTTGACATTGAATTGGGAAGATCAACAAGGGTATTAGGGAATATTAAACTCCCACCCCCGTTAAACTTTGCATTCAATTGGGAAGATCAACAAGGGTATTAGGGAATATTAAACTCCCACCCCGGTTAAACTTTACATTCAATTGCGAAGATCAACAAGCGGATTCATGACTTCGTGGAAATTGCGTTGAAGAGTTTGCCGATTTCTAACGTTAGATGTATAAGGTAGGCATTTTGGACAAGAATCGGTTGGAAATAAACTTTTGGAGTTTGAAAAGCTCACCCAAGCAGCTGGAATGTTTGTGTGCTTGTTGTTGGTGAATCGTTATTCTTGTAGGTATACCGTGTTGTCAGCACGCGGACTCGTTGGACGGGCCTCCAGGGAGTCGACTGAGCTAGTTGTTGACGCTGTGGAGGCGCTTCCGCCACGACTACATAAAGTATCGTTTTTTGTTCTGTACAATGACGTCCCGAACTCCGAATACGTGGACCCGGTGGAGGGGCCTCCAAAGGGTCAACCAAGTGAGGGGTTGACTCTGTGGAGGCTCTCCCACCGGGTCCACAGAAACTATTGTTTTTGGTTAGTTGTTGCCTTTGTGATTTCTAGCAAGTTTACATAAAGTCCAACCGGGTCCACAGAAACTAATGTTTTTGGTTAGTTGTTGACCTTGTGATTTCTACCAAGTATACATAAAATATCGTTTTTTTGTTCTGTACAATTACGTTCCGAACTCCGAATAGGTGGGCCCGGTGGAGGGGCCTCCAGAGGGTCAACCAAGTGAGGGGTTGACTCTGTGGAGGCTCTCCCACCGGGTCCACAGAAACTATTGTTTTTGGTTAGTTGTTGACTTCTTGTGATTTCTAGCAAGTTTACATAAAGTCCAACCGGGTCCACAGAAACTAATGTTTTTGGTTAGTTGTTGACCTTGTGATTTCTACTAAGTATACATAAAGTATCGTTTTTTGTTCTGTACGAGTACGTTCCGAACTCCGAATACGTGGACCCGGTGGAGGGGCCTCCAGAGGGTCAACCAAGTTAGGGGTTGACTCTGTGGAGGTTCTCCCACTAACAAGGGTATTAGGGAATATTAAACTCCCACCCCGGTTCAACTTTACATTGAATTGGGAAGATCAACGAGCGTATTAGGGAATATTAAACTCCCACCCCCGTTAAACTTTGCATTCAATTGGGAAGATCAACAAATGTATTAGGGTATATTAAACTCCCACCCCCGTTAAACTTTACATTCAATTGCGAAGATCAACAAGGGTATTAGGGAATATTAAACTCCCACCCCCGTTAAACTTTGCATTCAATTGGGAAGATCAACAAGGGTATTAGGGAATATTAAACTCCCACCCCCGTTAAACTTTACATTCAATTGGGAAGATCAACAAGGGTATTAGGGAATATTAAACTCCCATCCCCGTTAAACTTTGCATTCAATTGGGAAGATCAACAAGGGTATTAGGGAATAGTAAACTCCCACCCCCGTTAAACTTTACAGTCAATTGGGATGTTGATGATGTTGATGATGTTGATGTTGTTGCTGATAATGCTGATGATGATGATGATGATGTTGATGAAATGAGGGAAAAATTCGTCATCCGTTTGCCCAAACGAACGACACGGGGAATCTCACAAAACATTGGCCCTGCGCAGTCAAAACGCACTTTCCCGGGCAGCACATCCGTCCTGGCCGTAGTACTACTACTACTACTACTACTACTACGACTACTACTACTACTTTTACTACTACTACTACTACTACTACTACGACTACGACTACTACTACTACGACGACGACTACGACTACGACTACGACTACTACTACTATCATTCGTATGGCACCTATCTCACTAGAATTTACCAAAGAACATAAAACATCATTTTTTTCGGGGTTGCGCTTCATCTCGCCTCGATGAAGCACAACCAAGTGCTTGGGAGCACAACCAAAGTCATTTATCGCACAAACATGAGCTTGGTTGCGCCCCCAAACGCTGGGTTGCGCTTCATCTCGCCTCGATGAAGCACAACCTTGGAAAATGATTTTTTTTTTAATCTTCTTTGGTAAATTTGTCATCCAGACCGTAGCATATTCTAACTTCGCGAAAAACGCGAAAAAAGCGAAAAAAATATCAACGTCGGAAAAGCGAAAAAGCAAAGCAGCAAAATCTAAAAAACACAAAAGCAGAATAAAAGGAGAAAAAAGAAAGGAAAAACACGGAGAGGCTCAAAGGGAAAAATGAAACAAGAGTTACATTTTTTGTTTTTTCACGCTTTCTTTCAAGTTTTTCGACAGGCAAAATAATCTATGGTCTGGAAGACATAAATTTACCAAAGAAGATTAAAAAAATATCTTTTTCCAAGGTTGTGCTTCATCGAGGCGAGATGAAGCGCAACCCAGCGTTTGTGGGCGCAACCAAGCTCATGTTTGTGCGATAAATGACTTTGGTTGTGCTCCCAAGCACTTGGTTGTGCTTCATCGAGGCGAGATGAAGCGCAACCCCGAAAAAATGATGTTTTCTGTTCTTTGGTAAATTCTAGTGAGATAGGTGCCATGCGAATGATATTAACAGGGGTCAGCATGATGTTAACGTTTATGTTCATCGTGGCACACCCAGTGGCGAAATGCTTTGATCCAAACATATCCGACGGCGACATGATGACATGATACACTCCACTACACCAC